TATCCACAATTTCATTGAGGAAATCGATATTGTGGACCTGTGTTATTTCTCTTATTTGAATTTTGGCATGCATGATGCACAGAACCACCTCACCTTGAACAGAGCTAGTCCCTCTTGCAGACCCACATTACAATCCTTCAACAGTTTGCTCATTTCGCCTTGGCGGAAAAAGTGCCGGATCTTGCTTTTGTCTTGTTGGGCCTCCACAAATGTGTGGATCTTGTAAAGTGTTCTGAGGACATGCAATCAGGACTACTAAATTGTTTAATCAGTGGGAAGGACATACTCTGTGAAGCTTCCGAGATGATTCAGCATGCTCGGTGATAAATCTGCGTTGGTCTCCATATGGAGAGAAATGATTGCACAGAGGAGCCCGTAGGTTTGCTCCAGCAGTTGGGTGCAGTCACTCTTGTTTTGTCTCACAGCCTGGCCAAAGTGAGATAGATTTTATGATTAGGAGTAGAACTGTACCTGCACAGCAGTCAGCAGCGACTTGGTGGTGTTGGAGATCGATCCTAAGAATGGAGTCTTGAAGCTCTTAGCAAGGACCTCCAGGGTATCCACAGCTATAGTGAAGTATTTAAGAATGTTGGTTAGTTGAACATCGGGGGCAATTGGCTGGCGCGGCATTTGGTTTGATGGGCAAAAATATGTATGGACTCTACTGGGGGCACGGGCTTTTTATCCTCAAAGTCCGTGGGAGGTTGGAAATCCATTGGCTCATCATATGATCGTCACCCTGATATTCCACAGATGATTAGAGCTATGCATAGACATTTGCATTCATCAGCTGTGATTAATTGTAGCCGCGTAATTGTAGCCGCGTAATCGCAGCCGCGTAGATACCACATAGAAGAGAAGATGGCAGCATGAGGGGTGGATACAACTGAGCGGACGTGGACAATTCTTCCGCATTTGTCCTGACACTGAAATTATATTCTCATTTCTGATTCTCCCTATCTAATAGTAGTAAGTATGTACCTGGAAGGTGAATAAAAATATGACAGCAAAGGGCAATGCAGGAGGCCCAGGCTGAGCTCGGCCCAGGCTAGTTACAGTCTAGATGGATGTAGATGGTGCGTCCGCGTCCGCCGCCCGTCGTCGTATCGTACACAAGAAACCAGCGCGCCCACTCGCGTCGCCTCCCACCACGCCGACCCGCACGGAGTGCACCCGCATTCTCGTCGTCGCAAGGAGCGCACCCGCATCCGCACGTAGCGTAGCGTACTCGGGAACCTGTACAGACAACAGCACAGCAGCGGCTCCTGCCCACCGACCCAGCAGCGCCATGACCCCACATCCCAGCAGCATCGTCCCAATCGCATACCCCAGCCTTCCATTCAAGCTGTTCATCATCTCTTTGTTGCGCCAGGAGCTGCGAAACACGCGCTCGGCTCTCCGCCAGCCCCGCCGCGATGCCCGTAGGCGTACTGAGCCCGGCGAGCGGGGGGATGAAGGCGTGGCGTGTGGCGACGGGAATGAGGGCGAGGCCTTCAAATGTTTCTGGGGAGGGGCTTAGTGTGTGGGGGAGAGGAGGGAGAGAACGAGGAGAGAATATGACCAGCGCTCCGGAGTGCTTACTCTGAGCTCTCCTAATTTTGAAGGGTGTGTTGTTGGTGGGGATGCGGCTCGCTGGCAGTGGCGGTAGCGCTCTCGCTGGGCCTGGGGGAGCCGTCCGCGCGCTGCGCCTCAAGGTCGGCCTCGGCCTTGGGCGGCGTCTGCGCACCCTCAGGCCCGTGTGCGGCGTGTGAGCCTGCCCATGTAGTGCCCGTGTGGGTCTGCGCTCCAGGTTAGTAAGTATGCTGTTATCATCGTGGCGGGAGGGAAGGCGCACCGTGCCTTAGCCCAAGCCACTCGAGCTTTGCCGTGCCCCAGCGGAACGCGACGAGCTCGAGGATGAAGATCGAGAAGATGCTAAGCATGCACAGCGCCAACGCGTACGGCCGCAAATTATGTTATAATTTTTTTAAGGTGCGCACGTATTCGGACCATCCCGACGATAAGCACGGCGAGGACAGCGCCTCGAGCGCGGGGAGAAATAGATGTATGAACGCCGTCGCGATCTGCAGGAAGTCAGCATCCCTCAAAGGGGAATTCGAGGCGGGTTCTCACGATGACGCCCGATCCGAAGCATCAAGCAGGGCTGTGTAGCTATCCGTCGCTTGCGTCTCCTTTGCCGCTGCCCCAGAACCATTCACGGTGGCCCACAAGAAGCAATGGACCGGGATCTTACGTGTCTCCTCGTTCCTTTCTTTTCGAGTTCTTACGCCTGGTCTTTCCGACTCCACCGACTCGCGTGGGCCATTATAATTATTTCTACCAACATCATTTCGATAACCCAAGGAATCCTCGTGACTGCTACAAAGTGCGCGTCCACCATTTCGAATATCAAGGAGTCTCGCACCCCGACCTCGATCCTTAGTCGTGCGCGCTCATTCTTCCTCACTCTCTCTTACGGTCCTGCCTTCCTTCGCCAGCCGCAGATCGCCTCGCTCGAAAATCCAAATGCAACATCCTCAGTTGTACCCCGAACTGCTTGGTGAAGCCCATCATTATTGGACGGCACGCGTTAGGGGACTAGGTGCAGCTTTTGAGATTGGTCCCCACACATCAAACCCAATATGGTAGCATCAAAACGTGACCTCCGGAGCTCCGGTGATCTGTGGCGAGTCGTTTGTCGATTCATTCATTCTCTCTTCCTCTTACCACAACGCCGTCTCACCCATTTCTACACACACACCCATGATCATCTCCAATGTGCCTATACTCTCTGTTCCCCTCTGATATTTCATGGCACCCCTCACTGGCAACTGCAGGATGTTTCGGCGGGTCAATCTCTCAAAATTTAAACGTGGTGGCACATGCTGGTAAGTCCTCACCCATCCATGTACTCTCCCAATCACTTTCCCCGCCATTCATTTGATACTAATAACGCATCCCAATGGGGCCCCCTTCGCCAATTTGAGGGTGGCACTCTGGTCCCTGGCATCACCGCGCCATATCCTTATCCCGTAAACCTACCCACCTTTATATCACGTACTTCCCCCTCCAAAATACGCGTCCTACGATGTTTTTGACGCGTGAAGAAGGGATATTTACGTCGCTGTCGACCACATTGTACCAGAGCTTGATTCCTTATCATAATATCAATCTCTCGAACATTTTCCCTTGTAAATTTCGGAGAAATATAGCTTCAATAAATTCACTGTTTCCACTCTCTTGTCCGCCATGAACGTGCCACTTCCGGAGGTGTTTACATTGTCCTTCGGAGGCCCGGAACGTCACGTGGATTAATTCCCATATACGGATTGATGCGTGGGGACAAATCTTGCGATCTACTAGGTGCGTGCCTTTATTTTATTATGTTTGTCTGACCTCACACTAGTCCACGGACTTCATCGCGCCCGGCCCCGGGAAGCTGGTCTACACAGGCGGGTGCCCCGTCACCGCTCTCCATGTGACGACGGTGCACAGCGCCAACACTAACGGTACACCCACGCCGACCTATAGTAACGGTAGGCGTCAACGTTATAGTGTGTGGTTCGTTCGATTGACGACTCTACGCGTGTAGGCTGTCATACAACGCACACGGGAGCGATTGACACTCAGAGCTCGGCGGTGCGGCGTGCGCACGAGCATAATCAACGCATCGCCGGGTGAGGTGAGATTCTGAACAGACGGTGTCCGCGCCGTCAAGCACTTGTCCGCAATTTGCGCAGTGTTCGTAACAGCTCTATGCTTCGTACGCTGCCGCTCATTTAACCTCACGAAAAATCGCTATTGGCTGCTACTATCTCGCACCAGACGCAACTGCTTCAAGTTGAAATTGAAAGGCACTCGTGCTGAGCTGGACCACGTTCGCCGTATCGAGGCGCACAGAGAATCCATCGAGTTGCACACACCGATCGAGGCTCGAAGAGGGGTGTGAAGAACGAGAATCGCAAATTCAGGAGACCTGACGGGGGAGTGGCTGGGGATTTCAGTCCCATAAGTCCGCACTGAGAATTAAACACGCAGCTCGAGTCAATTGCTCAAGATAATCGGGTCAACAGGGCGTACGCGTTGGAGACGACAAGTTGAAGACGAAAAAGAGTGCTTCCGAATCCTGAGATAGTCACACATAGACAGACGCTTCAACCGACGAAGCTCGTACCTCGTAATTCTGAGACCGGGCGCGGGGAGTCGAACCCCGGGGCTGCGAGCAAGTAATCGTACACCACGCCCTATGATTTCCCTTCAGCTCTACTCTGCAAAGAACGTGAAATATCGTGCGAGTACCAGCCCGCCTAAGAACTTGATCAGTCCTGTTGATTTTCTCCTGGCACACTTCCCGCGGAGGAGAGTAGTCGCCGTCGAGGTGCAAGCTGGACAAACTTCTAACCCCGTCAAACATGACAAAAAAAGCGATGTGGCTGAATTGTTGAGCTCGAGCGCGGGGAGTCGAACCCCGGACTGCGAGCGAGGGAAGAGTAATCCATACAGCCCATACACAGACTCGCGGTGTTCCATACACCACACCCGATGATTTACCTCCTGGTGTCCTCCACCAAGAGGGTGCGTTTTCGGTCAGTCCCGGGCAGTTGAGAAAGCTTGAGCACCCGTGTTGATTTTACCTCCAGGTAGGATCCAAGTGAAGAAAGGCTTCGCCGTCGAGGTTGAAGAATGGATTTGAAAGAAATGCCAGAGAGGCGAAGCACGACCAAAAAGAAGTGTTGAGGCGTTAGCTCGGGCGTGGGGAGTCGAACCCCGGACTGCGAGCGAATACCGAATTACTACGCCACGCGGACTCGCGGTGTTCCGAACACCACGCCCGATTATTTCCCGTCAGTTTCCCTGCATAAATCCAGTGGGATTTCGCGTGAGCATCAGCCAGTAGGAGGAGAGGTTGATCAGCCGTGTTGATTTCCCTCGGGCACAGAGCACTCGCCGTCGAGTTGGAAATCCGGAGGTAAAGTTCAACGCCGTGAGATAGAACAAAATAAATGCACAAGACGACGTAGGTCGGGCGCGGGGAGTCGAACCCCGGACTGCGAGGTCATATGGTGTCCCCGAACTTTTATGAAGGCCCGCGGTGTTCCGTACACCACGCCCGACTCCTGACGTTCTAGTGTCTTCTGCCAAGCGGTGCTATTCCTTGTGGGCATCTCTGAGCAGTCGTGCTGATTTTCCTTCAGGCAGGATCCACGCCTAGCAATACATACATACATTCCTCACCTCGCGTCAGGCCCACAATCGAAGGTTGAAGATCTGAAATTATAATTAGCACGGTGCAGACGACATGGGGAAAGAAAAGAAAGAGAAATCGCTCTGCCGACGACAAGGTCGGGCGCGGGGAGTCGAGCCCCGGGTTGCGAATAATCATTTTGCGAGATCAATTTGATCATGACGCCCCGCGGTGTTCCGTACACCACGCCCGATGAGTTTGCTTATCGGGTCCTCTGTTAACCCAGCTCCTTCCGAGGTGCACACATGAGCGAAGAGAACAATCTGTGGATCCGAGCGCGGAAGGCTCAGAGGTTGCCCTAAGAGAGGGTCGGAGGCGCACGAAGTTCGTATTGGGTGCGCGAGGGTAGGTGGGCGTTGCGCGAAGGCAGCAAATTATAATTACATGGCCTGAGATTAAATTGCGGGCCAGCCCATAGAAGACTGGAAATGAGATGGGAACGGCAGGGGTCGGGCGAGTTATGGAATGAGTTATGGAAAGATTTATTCCGGCTCGAGGTGTGAGTAGGGCGGTAATGTGGCATGAGGAAAATAGCGCGGGAAGGGCTGGGGCGCGCGATCTCCGACGGATTTGCGGTGCCACCTGAGACGACGTGACACGTTTCCATACGTTCCCATGCGCTCTACCGGATGCACGACCGAGTGACCAAGAATTCATTCGCCGAGGAGCCAGGCGTCGAGCGAGCCGAGATTTGCGCGATGAGGATATCGAAGACGCCGGCGATAATATGAGAACGACATGGCAAGCTTAGGGGTGACGATATCCCAGTTGCGCGGTCGTACGATCTGCGTTGAAGGGTAGGCGAGGTCGTATCAGCTGTCGAGTCGGCGGAGGCAAGACGACTCGGATACATTGCCGACAATTGAGCACGTCGATCATGCCATCATACATTCCAAAAATCCGCCGCGTATGCCTTCGCCGCTGCTCGGCGCTCTCGTGTGCCCCCGACGAGCGGGATCGGCGGCGACAAGCCCGTTAATTACGGGTACGTGATCTCGCCGTGATCTGCGAGCTGTGCGGACAGACAGGCACCCGGATGAAAACTGGATCGGATCAACCCCGGCGTGCAACCGCCGCACTACATATAATGCTCCATCACACAGCAGTGTTCTTCACGCTCGTCGTCTCTGGTCTTTCTCCCGTCGCCCGTCGCTCCCCTGCACGATGTTCATCCTCCCGGCACACGCCCAAGACCTCAGGCGTTAGTGGGGATTTTTTATAAAACGACAGGGTGATTAGAAGGGGACCAATATTTAAATATTGCCGGTAAGCTAGAAGCGTGTGTTTTATAAAACACTAGAAGAACCTCGTATCGTTCCTAATTTGGACACCCTCCCTCCGGTGGAGAGGGTCTACGACCTCTCAGGGGAGATGAGCCAGCGGGGCTCGCAGCAGGAGGGTGAAAGCGGAGGAAAAGCCCAATATGATTGCCGAGTTTGACATGAGAACCTATCTACCTAGCTACACGCTGTCACCCACACCACAGTCACCCCCCTCCAAAAAACGTCCAAGCGCAGTGAGGGACGTGGCGCGACCCCGCGCCTAGCTAGCTATCCCATATCTCCAACGAGTTCGCAATGCTGCACCCATCCATGAACAAAGTCCGCAACAACACTGTCAAAAAACAATGTGAATGCGGGTTCGATGCGACCCATGACAACAATAGCACAGAGAAAGACCACTTGGTCGGGCGGAAGAAGGGCGAGAAGCTCCGGGCGTGCATCAGGGTTTGCGGCGACACTGCCGTCCGGGTACTCTAATGGAGGCCATGCAAAGTCCCGTAAGAGAGGGCCCATGTGCGACACCGGAAGTGCGCGACTACAGGTGTATGCCAGCTCGTGGTTTACTTCGCCGAACTCCGTGTCGACGGGGAACTCGCTCGGAGGATGGTCATCTGGGAATAGACAGAGGGTCGGCGGGGGAAGATTGTTGGCAGGAATGACGTCGGGGTGGAATGGGTCGTCAGGGTGGAGCGGTATCAGGCCAAGAAGATCTGCGGGTCGCAGCGACAGACCCTGCTGCAGGGCCCCGGATGATACTGGTAATGGCGGCGAGGGTATGTGCAGCGGTACGCTGGGAAGCATGTCGAAGTGCGCGTGACGCTCCCAAGACCCTTCTGGGCGAAGGCGGCGCTTGCGCCGACGGATGGCACGCCAAGGGTGCCCACCAACGCTACGAAGGGACGACCAGCGTGGTGCATGTGTTATAGCCATAACGACACCAGGTGTTACGGGCTCGGGGATGTCATCAGCCCAATTTCCGTAAACGAAGGCACGGACGTGCTCGGGCCATTGTGACGGCGGCAGCGGCGGAGGCTCCGCATCGACTTGGTACGGTAGGAACCGTATCGGGAATCGCGGGAGCGGCAGCGGCGGTGGTGTGCGAGCCTCTCGGGGCACAGCTGGCAGTAGTGCTGGGGTGCGAGGAGCGCTGGTGGGAGTGGGGACAACGCGGGCGGCGCTGATTGAGGGAACGGGGGTGTCGGCGAGCGTCGGGGGCGATGTGTCAAAGGGAGAGGGGGCTGGTCGTGCTGTCTCCTCCACTCTCTGCTGCTGCTCGTCCAAGAGCTTCTGTGCTTTCGCCTTTTTCCTCGCCTTTTCCTTCTTCGCGCCGCTGGTCATGACAGATTGACAGGTGTCAAATTTGACAGGTCGCGTAAGGGCGAAAAAGATGGCAGAAAAGCGATGGGGGTGAATGTGCGTCGAGAGACGCGGTCGATGCGAGGAGCCGGTGCCGGTAGGTGTCGTGAGTGTGTAGATGGGGGGTATGTCGGAGGGGAAAAAAATATGGGGAAATCGACTCGCAGTCGGTGCAAGAAAAGTCAATGAGATGTTGCCAAGATGTTGCTTCGCAAAGCAGAAAGCCTATCTGGGCCAAAGGACGCGTGGAGAAGAGCGAATCCCAGTCTGATCACCAAATGGAGAGGGTCTACGACCTCTCAGGGGAGATGAGCCAGCGGGGCTCGCAGCAGGAGGGTGAAAGCGGAGGAAAAGCCCAATATGATTGCCGAGTTTGACATGAGAACCTATCTACCTAGCTACACGCTGTCACCCACACCACACCGGCGGCGTCGTTGGCGTCGCCATCAGGCGCGTGGCTGTGCTCTCCGCCTTTGCCCGCGCCTGGTCGCAGCCACCCAAAATCCTTGCTTCCGGGACTCCTCCTGCGCTGCACCGCCTGATATAATTCAAGGACCAATCCATTATCCAGCGCATTATAGTTGCTAGAGTCCACCTGTTCAGTGTTGGGGTTTATCGCAGCATCCTGCGTGCAGAGGAGACGATGCGCTTTTCGTCGTTTTGGCGGGCGGGGCACATTTGATGGCTTGTTGTCACTACTTGATCTTTGATGGGTTTGTCTATATTGACCCATATTATGATGCCAACCCGGTGTCAGCCTCTTGCTCCCCCTCCTGGCCCGCCCTGCCCTACTTTCCCCTGGCCTCTTCTCCATATGCGATATTTCAGTCATTCATCACTCAACCATTTCTCATGTGCGGGCTTAGCCTATGCTCGCCCCGCGCCGCCGGTTTGATGACTTTTGCACGGCCTCCCAACGCCCCGCGGATAGACCACCCTTACGCGCAGCGAGTCTCAAGACAGGCGGTGTGTCCAATACGCCTCCTGGAAATATTTTCCTACAATTATATCCCAAATACTTTCCCACCCACCACCTTCTCATCTCGTGCCACCGCATTTACGTTGTTAACGCCTCTCGCCGTCGCCCTCATTTCTGCCGCCTTTACACACCTCAGGAACATGCGGGAAATTGATTGAGCGGCTTTGGAGAATATTCCTGTCTTATCATTCCCACCGCGTTCCTATGAACTCGGTTCATTCTGTCACGCCTTCTAGCTCACGGCCCGGTCCTCTCCGTTTTTATTCACCATTGTGGGCTTTTCCCGCTGTCCTGTGATTCTTTCCTATGAAGTCAGATTAAAGTGCCATTTTCACTTTCGTGATGTTATATTGGGTCCAATTATCGTATATGCGGTTCCTCCAGATTAGGCGCCCGAGGGCGCTTAATCCTTGCGCATCCATTACCTGCTCTCCCTGGAGGTGCCTTTGGTCTGGATTCGAGGTAAAATATTCTATAAGACCATTCGTTACTTCCAGCCTTGGCCGGGATCTCTCATTCTCGCTTGACATATGACACTGCTCAATTTCCGGCACTTCACCCCTCAAAAGGATCTTCCCCGCATTTTACCGTTCTCTGAACATCTCGAGCATGTGTAGAGAAGGAATACAAGACATTGCGAGTCCTAGGGTTTCTAAAAGCTCTAGAAAAATACCCATCAACCTGGAACTCGATGCTGAAACTGGCTACCATCCAGTCAAGTTCCGAAACGGATGTATACCACATTCACATTCTCTACGTGTCTGAGCATGGAGAGCTCACCTATTGCTACCCAGATCAATCAAAAACCACCAGGGGATGCATTTTGACTGTCAAGATGACTTGTCTCAAAAAACAATCCATCCTATGGACCGGGATCCATCCACACTCTGTAATCGAGGTTCGGAACTGGCCCAAATGTGAGCGCGAAAAAAAAAAGTTTCAATCTCGGAAATTTCAATATATTCGAGTTCAGACATTAAAGTTATTGTGTTCCACTATGAAAGACCCCAAAAATCACCTTTGTATCGTGGAATATAACCCGTTCTTCACGGTCCGATTTTTTGATCCTCCGAGATATGACTGGATCACTGTACTGTGGGGTCTGGAGACAAAAATTTCGACTTTCTGTGTGTTCAGAATCATGACAGACTGCTGTGTTCGGTCCAACGACACTTTTTTTCATGTTCCTTCAACTACAATCAAATAAGTTGTCACGCCGTTACATGTGTGACCGGAAGCCTCCTTGCAGAC